GACCCAGGGATAGACAGAACATTTTCCTGGAAACACAAGACATTTTTAGAGCATTTTTTCAAATTGTTTTTCTCAAACACTCTAAAATAAGCAGTTGTCACAGACAGATACCTTAACTGGTGCCGTCAACGATATTCAATAATCAATGTGGTCCACTGTCACTCTTTGCTTTGTCAGTTGGCTATCCATGGTCACCTTCAGGTTTGGGCCAGGAGAAGTACAAGATCCATCCTCTTCCAAACACCTTTCCTCATGCCTGACCCCTGACGAAACATGACCATAAATCACCAAAGAAGGAGAATTTCCAGTGGTGATTTTAGAGGCCACTGTGGAAAGTCAAAAGTCTTTGACTTTATTGCATAGTACCCTGGAGATGCACACACCCCAGGCAGCTACTGGGCCACAGGAAGACGGCAGGTGTGCAGGTCACAGAGAATGTAGAGGCTTGTCTAAATGTCCACCATGTGGGACTTGGGGATCAAACTCAGCTCTCAGGCTTTGGTGGTGGCAAGCACCTCCATCTGCCGAGTCATCTTTCCAGGCCAGTACTCGGTGTCTCTCCTTCTAGCCCTCTCCACCCAAGGGGAATTGGCCAGTTTGTACTTTACATCCTTCAGGAGCCTCATGATCATCTAGAAAAATCAGAGCTCGTCCCCCATGATTCCCCAAACTAGAACCAAGCAACAAAGTTGTTTTTTTTTATCTCACCCAGCCATTAATTCTAAAAAGAAGAGGTCTATGACCTGTCCTCAACCAAATCTGAAGTCTCTGGGTGAAAACAAATTTTAGCTAAAGAAAACGTTGAGGAGAGAGCAGAAGCAAAGGGGAATACATGGTCGAACAGATCCTGGTAAAAACGGGAGTGCCTGGTTCTGGGTGTCCTTAAAGTTAGCCATAGCCCTACCTCCTGATTCTACACAGCGGTACCCTATCTCCCTGCTTGGGCCTGGAGAATTGTGTTACCCCTGCCCACCATGCTGAATAGCAAGAGGTCACTCTTCTAAGTAAATAACAACCCAAATTAAAGAGCAGATGTCTCCCCCTGGTCATGACAGGGAGATATCCCTGATAAGAGGTCTCAGAGGAAACGTTTTTTCCTTCTTTTAGTCAGCCGTGACAAGTTGTGCTGTGTTCCACACATAGATCTAATCCGTGTCCTTAGTTTCACAGTGCAGAGCTGAATGGGTCAATTAAAAATCATAAAACAGGGCTAGCAAGATGGTTTTCCTGCAGCTAAGCCTGAGGACGTAAGATCCATCTCTGGGACCCACATGATAGGAGAGAACTGATCCCTGAAGATTATCCTCACGGTATGAGCAAGCATTTAAATAAATATAAATTAGTAAATAGATATAATTTTAAATAAATTATAAAAGTAAACAAAGACGATTTAATTTCAATCAGGAAATAATAATTACATAGAACATAAAGTGTATACTGCTTTTCTGTTGCTATGATAAAAAGCCATCACCAAGGGAACTTGTAGAAAGAAGAGTTTTATTTGAGTTTATGGTTCCAGTTCGTCCTGGTGAGGGAGGCATGGCAGTAGGTGGCTAGACCAGGAAGCTGAGCAATCACTTCTGCACCCACAACACGTAAACACAAGCAGAGAGAAAACCATGCAGGCAACTGTAAGCTATAGACTCTCACAGCTCACCCCAGAGGTGGGCTTCCTCCAGCAAGGCTAGACCTCCTGAAGGTTCCATAAATTGCCAACATCACCATTAACTGGAGACCAAGTGTCCAAAACCATAAGCCTATGGGGGAGTATCTCACCCAAGCCACTTCTAAGGGTGTCTATAAAGACTCCTGGAAAACCGACACTGGGGAGTTGAACAGTTTCCAAAACAGTGTTTTCTCACACTCAACGCTATAAAAGACCGGTTCTGTATTTTCGTATTTTGTATCTATTTGTCAGGCTGCTGGTAGAGGGTGTCTGTCCGTCGGTTCCTGTGCCTTGTTTCCAATCTTTCAGAACCAGTCCCATGGTCTCATTACATTTGAAATGACTAATACAGTTTGTACCACCCGGGCCTCACTGCCCAAGTTTAACAATCCCTCAACTGCTCTGTAACACACTCAGTGAAATGAGTACAAGCTCTTCGGCTGTTACAGAGATTTCAGCTTGATAGGAAATTTCTAAATGCTTATCATTCATGCCTGAACTTCTCTAGTCGCAAAGTGAACCCCAAAAGAGCTAGGTCCAACAATGGCCTGATTTCAAGAGGCAGAGGGTACCGGTGACCTGAGACAGCTTTCCAAGGCAGGAAAGAGTAAAATTATGAGAAGATCAGAGCTTGCTCAGGGAGGTAAAGCCCAGGACAAATACACACTCCCAGGCGCTCTCAGTCTCCTAGGTAAGAACAAGACATTGCTTCACTGCGATTCGGCATTCTTGAGAGTCAAAGGACAGCAGAGAAAAACCAAGAGCGTCATCACTACCTGCCAAGCCCTGGACTCCGTACCTTCTAGGTTGCTTGTTTTTATATGCACACTCTTCTCCTTGTAAGGGACCCTTCAGGAAAGATGAAGATCTGACCTGGCATTCCACAGAAGTGTGCAGCTTAACTCAGCAGCTGGGATTGTAGAGGTGGCTACAGCCATTGTTGAACGCTTGAATCTTCTCCCTAAGCACTTCCCTCTGCTCTTAACCTGACCCACCTTGTGCCCGAGTCACCCATGAGCTGAAAGGACAGTAGAACCCTCTGGTCAAGCCAGTAGGCATGAGTCAGTTGGCACCAAACCTGAGTGGTTGCCCACAAAGAAAAGAAGAAATGTGAAACTCTGGTGCGTATAAGTGGTTGTTCTTTTTTTACATATACAGCATCTCCTAAACTAAGCAGCATGAATTGAAATACATATTGCACACAAGTCTAAGGTCTGCTAGAATCAGTTCTAGTTCTCTGGTTCGGACTTTGTGAATCTTGTGGTCCACACCTGGAGATCAGCTGAGGTGTCTAGTAGAGAAAGGCTTCATTCATGGCTACTAGTTGGCCGGGCTGCTCACTAAGGTGTCAGGGTTGACCCATTATTCCATAAGCTGGTTTGGTCTCAGTCACAGGACAGCATCAAGGACCTGAGAAAGCAGGGATGTGGTTCTTCTGGGGCCACTGTTGAACTCGAACAGTTCACTTGGTATGTCAGGGAAACCTTATAAGACTGCCCCAATTTGAGGAGTAGGGGAAAGGCTCTAGCCCTTGAGAGAAGCAGTTACAGAGCCGCACTGCTGAGGGAAAGAATTTTGGGGAGCAGAAAATTGGGGGAATTTTTACAACCCATCTGGGTTTCCTTCCCCCAGTTGATTATTCTCCACTGCCGCATGCTGAGAACTAAACTCCAGCTCCTCAAACCCCAGTCCCGAGCCGTAGAAACTTTCCCAAGACACATCCGGTCCCCACCACTTACTAAGCAGGGTTCAGATCTCATTTTGTGTTTTATGTTAAACTCCAACCGATATTGAGTTGAGCATCCTTTTATGCATGGGAGAGGAGAGAATTAGGCAAGGAGTTCTTGAGAACATGTCATCTTTTGTCACATTAGAAAAACACATGCAAGAATGTGAGACTGACAGGATTCAAACCTTTAATTCATCCCATCAGTCATCCATTTGATAAATGTTGAATTGCTACACACTGATGCATAGTATACAAAAGGTGTATATAAAGACAATGCATGCCTGAATAGTGTCCTTAGGGAAATAGTCTGCCCATGGTAAGCATTGAAGCATTTGGTACCCTGGTTGCTCTAAAAACTACAGCTGTTCCTTTACTCCTTTTTCTTCCTGAGTAGCCCGTTGGGTTCCTCAGAATTGCAGATCTCATTTTATCTGCATTTAACACAAAGGAAGTGCTCTGCAAGTGTTTGCTGAAATAAAATTAAGTAAGCATCTGGAACAGAAGAAAATTATTAACATTTAATGTAAAGTCCGCTCTTCCTAGATGGGATGGTTTGATTTGCAGCTACCCTACATCTAACGGCATAAAAACACACAGAGAGGGAGTAATGAATCTCTAAGCCACAGCAAGAGCATTTTTATTTTCCCTTTCCCTTCCAGGAGCATCTCCTCCATGGTTGGCAGGAAAAAGAAGACAGCAGACTTGACCACTTCTGAAGCTGGACTATCACCAAACGATCTCAATCCATGCACCACCAGAAATGATGCAGCCAATGCTTAGAAACGCTGCACAAAGGAGCCCAGAAAAGACTCCGAGTACGGACCCAGGAGATGCTTCCATCCCAGAGATGGGAATGGAGTAAGGTCATGTGTAGGAGTGAACCCCACAAAGCTACCCGCCCAACAGGGCGGGGTCAAGGTAGAGATAAAAAAGTCATGAGGCTTGTGTCTGTAGGCCAGAGACCACTAACAGGTCCAGAAGAGAGGATTCAAAGTGGGCCAAACACACATTGCCCTGGGGACAGTTTCCATTCCTTAGCTACCCTCCCTAGGTTCTCAGTCTTCTCTTCCAGCACCAGTTCTGAGAGGCCAAGGCCACTAGCAGAACAAGAAGCATTGGGGAGAATCACCAGCTTGAACCTACACCAGAACCATCTTCAAACCCCACAGGCTGTGGTTCAGAGGTAGACTCGCCCCATTGAATTAAAGATAGTGCATGGCTAATGTTAGGGCATACCAGCAGGCCCACCTCATTGGGCCTGGTACATCAGACACCTCAGCATAGCCCTGAGATGCTCAGGCTCACAAGTATGACTTAACCCACACACCTTGAGGTCTTAAAAACAGATAGTCCAGTGACTGGTTGCCTGGTTGTTTGGATGGTTGGCTGGCTGGCTGGCTGGCTGGCTGGCTGGCTGGCTGGCTGGCTGACTGGTTGGTTAGTTGGTTTGTTGGTTGACTATTGAGACAGAGTTTCTTTATGTAGCTCTGGCTATCCTAGACCTTACAATGTAGAGCAGAATGGCAATGAACTCACAGAGATCCACCTGCCCCTGCCTTCCAAGTGATGAGATTACAGGTGCATGACACCATGATTGGTTGAGTCCCATTTTTAATGGATTTTATTAAAGCACAGACTATTTTTAAAGACAGTTTTAAGTTGACAAGTAAAAGTAAACAGAACTAAAGTGGCCATTTTAAAGTTTAGAATCCAGACCAATAAATATACTTTGAGTTCCTGTTACAAGCCACATGCTGGACAGAAACTCGCAAACAAGAATGCATTATTCTGATGCCAAAATGCTCCCAATAGGTGAGAAAAAGACATGTGGATGATTACAAGAGAGAGACATGCAGACGATTACAAGAGAGAGAGATGCAGATGATTACAAGAAAGAGACATGCAGATGATTACAAGGATGGACAATAACCAGTGGAGCGAAAAGGAGTAGAGAAGGTCAGAGGACTGGAAAAAAAGCTCCTAGAGTGTGCGCTGGACCCAGAAAGTCATGTGGGATAGGCAGGGCTTGAATTGAACTTTAAGGAACTTATAGAGGTTTCCTATTGAGTAAGGACCCCCCCCCCAACATGGGAAATGTTGATTTCCTTATTGGCCTCTGTCCAAACCAAGAGCAAAGGGGCCTTAGAAAGAGGTCCCTGCAGCTGCTTTCTCCAAATCCAGGGTGGCTTTTATGTGTACCTTCTCTTCATCTCCTTCACTTCCCCCAGTCTCACCATGAATTCAGCAGCTCTCTGCAGGCTCTGCAGATAAGCGGCTCACCAGACGACTTCCACCAGATGACTTTCCAACTTTGATTTTGGTTTCTGCTCCAGATGTTGCACTGATATGGATGAGCTTCTGTCTGCTGCGAATGTGCTGCTTTTATTGGTTGATAAATAAAGCTGCTTTGACCAATGGCCAGGCAGACTACAGGTAGGCAGGAAATCCAAACAGAGTTATGGAGAGTAAGAAGGCAGAGTCAGAGAGACACCATGTAGCCACCAGGGGAAGCAAGATATGAGGTAGCAAGCCATGAGCCTTGTGGTAAAATATAGTGTAATAGAAATGGGTTGATTTAATTGTGAGAGCTAGTCAGTAATATGCCTGAGCCATTGGCCAAATAACTTAATAACTTTAAGTCTCAGGATGATTATTTAGTAAGCAGCTGTGGGAACCAACAGGCTGGAGAGAAACTGGTCCTAGGGGACCAGACGGGACATTAAACATCCAACTACATGTGATGTCCAACGTAGGGCAAGAATTGCCACATAAAAGCTGACAAAGGCTTAAAAGGAGATTCTAAACACAAAAGAGCAGAGTCAAGCACAGCTTCTTGGTAGTAGCATTTTCTCCATTGGGTTCTGTTTGCTAGAGGCAAGCAGAGGCACAGCTCCTTTAAGAGACAGCTTCCTGGTTCATGCTGGTGGCTCTCATGGCTCTCTCAGGAGGTCCTGTGGGAAGCATGCTGCAAGTTACTTGACGGATTTAGCTTTTGCTCGTACAGACAAAAAAAAGTAAGTTTATGGGCTGGCTGCATGCTACCAGATGTCAGTATTGGGGGGGTGGGTAAGCATGATGCTTGTTGATATCTCCAACATGTTGGATCCAACAACCAAAGCTGCCACTGTGGCCCTAGCCATGCCCACTTAGCATTTTAAAAACTCTCCTGGTCAGAAAATGATTACATATGTGCAATAAGGACAGATTCAGACAAAAAGGCTGTCTGAATGTACACGGGCTTGAGAGAGAAAGAGGATAGAGAATAGACATGGTCATAGACAAAACAATAATTTAAGGATAATACACTGAGGTCATTAAAGAAAAAATAGAGGAAACAATTATAATGGGTCCTATAAAGATAGAATATGCAGAGAGTCTGAATTACATATACTATTGTGTTTCCTTTGGATATTTTGATGGTTAATGAACTAACTATGGAGAGACATTTTTTGTGAGGGCTGCAAAGTTAAACCAATATGAGTATTTTAAAGCTATCTTGACTTCAAAAATTGGGTCTAAGTATATGTGTTGCTTTGGAAAAGAAGTTCTGCTTTTGTTTCCACAGAAGATGAAAAGCTGTGGATTCTTTCCAAGCTAATATGGTTTGATCAAGTAAGACCTCCTGAGAGATCTCTGATGAGAATCATGGCCCAGGTGATCCAACATTCAAAGCAGCTTCAAGGCAATTGGCTGAGATGATGCAGCCTCACAGACTACTACAGCCAAGATTTAACCATAAATTTTCTCAGGGTCCCCATCAGATCACTGCAACCAACAATCAGCAGAAAGTAGTCTAGAAAACTATGCCCAAATTGCAAGATATTGTCTGTTTTCATGTAAATAGGGTTGGTTATAAGTGGTTAATGGTCACAGTCAATCTCTTTCTAAAGAAAAAAAGGGGGGATATGATATAGAAATGAATAATTTACACTGGTATGGATTTTGATTTATTGATACAAATTGAAGGTCAATTTTGTTATACTGTATGTATATTTTCTACCCTTGTTTAATGCTTTGTAGCTATATAGCTCCATTAAAAGTGTAATGTATACTTAAGAAATACAAATTAATAGCCATCTATGATAGTCAAACTTATAGTCATGTTAGTTAGGTTTCCTAGATATGCAGATGTATATTTAAGATGGATAGGTGATCTTCAAGCACTTCAAAGACCTACAGAATCTGGCATTTAGACTATTCTCAACAGTGAGACATGTCTGCTCCTGGCAGCACCAATTACTTCAAGAGAACGATGCACATCAAAGAAGCTCCTTATGGAGTTTGCTTTCAGTGTGGCAAGACTAGACATTTGGACAAGAAACTACTCTTGCCTGGTCTGTTTGACTGTATGTTGTTTAAACTGGCCATGCAGGAACCACAGGAAAGTGAGTACTGAACTTGCCATAACAAGATGGGACTGACTTTCAGGTTTCCTGCTTCATGGAAGACTCTTGCAGACATTCTGCAAGACACAGAAAAAAAATGACTGATAAACTTCCAACATAGGTGGGACAGTTCCAAATTTCCTGTTTCACTGAGAAGTCTGACAGACACTCTAGGCCAATATGCTGAAGATGAATGCCTCAGTGTTACAGAAGAATTTTGGGTGACTGTCCAGACAGCCAGATATCTGTCATTTCTAGAGTTTTAGAAGTTGCTTATAATGCACTTCCTGTTTATTTAGATAATGTTATATCCTTCTGGGGTCTTTGATGGAACCGAAGACTAGATATTTTTATAGTTTTCATTAGTTACGACAAAGGATAAATTAGTATAAAATTTCAGACTCACAAAGATAGGATAGCTGATACAGTATTTTCTTTAGTTTTGCCAAATGTAAATGAACTAAATGTTGTAACTATAATTCTTGCTTGATAATTTTCTTGTTATGTATAATTTTACTATGTTAAAGTTAAAATCTTCCTTTTTAATTAGACAGAAAAGGGGAGATGATGTGGGATGTCCTTCTGTATGCTGCAAATACATGTTACTTTTATTGGCTGGTGAATAAAGCTGTTTTGACCAATGGCCATGCAGAGTATACCTAGGCAGGCAATCCAAACACAGTTCCAGAGAGAAAGAAGGCAGAGTCAGAGAGACTCCATGTGTCTGCCAGGGAAGCAAGATTTGAGCCTCGGGGTAGAATATAGTGCAATAGAAGCAGGTTGATTTAATTGTGAGAGCCAGTCAGTAATGTGCCTGAGCCATTGACCAAAAAATTGTAATTAATTTTAAGACTTAGAATGATTATTTAATAAGCAGCTGCAGGGATCAGTGGGCCAGAGAGAAACCAGTCTGGGGGGACTGGATGGTACAGAAAACACCTAACTACATTGCCCTGCCTCCTTGTCACACCTCTGTCCTACCCACCTTCATGGGAGAACTCACAGGTGGGTTTTTCCCATGACATCACACCAGAACTCAGAGAACCTGACCCTCCTTCCTGGAGGAATAGGAGGAGGAACCATTTCAGACAGTGAGGGCAGATGAGAAATAGAAGAGTCCTCTCTATCAAGAGTGATCACTCTACCAGCATTCCAGTGTCCCTGAATCAAGCAGAACCAAGTGTCTGAGACATGTGGAATCTAAGTCCAGAGAATTCTAAGTTCATCAGGTTGTAGGCTCTATCATATATAAAATTATCCCAGATGAGAAGGTGCTTGGAGAAGGGATTTTCAGCATACCTCAGGTCACATGCTGATATTTGTTTTAGTTGCTTTCCTTTTGCTATGATAAGACACACCATGACCGAGACCATTTATTTGGGGATCATAGTCCCTGACCACTGTAGCAGGAGGCATGGCAGGCAGGCAGACAGGCATGACATGGCACTGAAATAGTATCTGAGGGCTTACTTACATCTTGACACACAACCAGGAAGCAGAGAAAACAAACCAACAATGGCATGGGCTTTTGAAACTTCAAACCATGCCCAGTGACATACATACTCCAATAAGGCCACACCTCCTAATCCTTCCCAAACAGTTCCTCCAACCAGGGACAAAGTATTCAAACCTATAAACCTATGGGACTTGAATGTTTCTAATGGGAATCAAGTGGATAATCCCTCCAGCATATTCTTAGGGAAATGATCAGATCCAGCCATTATACCCTAACATACAGCAGTTGCTCTCAGAAAGGAGCTGTCAAAATTGGCTTCGGTTGTCAACGAGACACATTTAGAAATGGGAAACCTCAACTGAGAAACTGACTCCATCAGATTGTCCAGTGGCCATGTCTGTACGGCATTTTTTAAACTGCTGATCGATGTAGGAAGGCCCAGTGCATTGTGGGCAGTAATATCCTTAGGCAGATAGGTCTTGGCTATACAAGAACAGTAGCTGAACAAAGAAAGAAGAGATTCATGGTCTCTTTCTCAATCCCCACCTCCAAGTTTCTCCCTTGGCTTCCCTCAAGGATGGATTTGGTCACAGGTGTTTATCACAGCAACAGGGAAGCAAACTAGGACAGAGGTCTTCCTGCAAACATTGAGAACCAGGCCCTGTAACTTGCTGAAAACCCTCCAACACGGTAAAAAAAAAATTATGCATCTCAAAACAATCTTCACGAGCCCCTCCCTATCCTTTCTCCCAAACTGGAGTATTTTCTCAGAGACAACCCCAGCCTCAGTCTATATTAAGCCCATTAACAGAAATCCGATGGTTTCATGAATAAGAATCTCCCTTTTCTCACCGGACTGTAAGCTCCAAGACGGTCAGAGCCACACGCTACCCTTGAGACGCTGCTGAGAGCCATTCGCTGTTTTGCGTATGCGTGCGGTCTCTCATCCATCTACCCACCTGTAGCATGGAGGCTGTAAACTGTAGACAGACAGGTCTACTGTGTGGAACGCTGACCCCACCACTTACCGGCTGTGTCTGTGTCTACACATCGGAAATGCAACTACCTTATAGGTTTAGTCTGTAGAAGAGACAAACCCTGAGGAAAGTGTCTGGCATATGTACGACCTTGGATTATTATGATGATGCGGCTACTGGTGATAATGATTGTGGATGATGGCGGTAGCCGGGGTGGGGTAAGGGTGGGGTAGGAGTGGGATAGGGGTGGGATAGGGGTGGGGTAGGGGTGGGATAGGGGTGGGATAGGGGTGGAAACCTGCACAGAGGCGGGGGGGCGGGGGGCTGGGATGCGTGAGCAAGTTGCTGCAGACAGAGGACAGACAGACACTACCGTCAGAGGCCGCTCTGAGTAATTCAGCGCAGGGGTGTGCTCCTGTTGCTGGGCTTTTTAAGATCCATTGCGTTTGCAAAGGGAAGACGGTGAGCTCATGCTCGTTTCCCTGGCACTTTCCTGTTTACACGGGTCAGCTGCCCACCTGCAATTAAGCCTTGGAGAGATTTCAGGAGACCTCAGTGTTCAGCAGCTTCTGTTTTAGCCATCCTTTCCCAGACTTGTCTCCTCAGTCACCTGTCAATGTGTCATTTCCCCTTCTGCCTTCCCTCTAATGCGTTTGCTAAAAAACAATTTCCAAACTCTGCTCGTTACCAGGAGAGACAATGAAACAGAGAAAAGAGAGCTGGAAATGCCCTTTGAAGAGTCAAAGATTCCAGCATTCCCCTTCCCAAGGCTCTGCCTTTGACTGACATTGAGACCTGTTTAGAATCTCTCTCTCTCTCTCTCCAGAATCTAAAGCGGCAGCCCGGAGTGGGTTTGAGTTCCGACGGTGGATTGGTTGGGTCTGCACATTTCTCTGGGTGTTGGACAGCAACCTTTTGAGGGTCTCCAGTGGGAAGGATGGGTGACAGGAGAGGGGGGATGTGAAAGAGAGGGGGCTTCCCAGCCCCTCGAAGCCCCCTCTGCTTTCCCCTGGATTGCCTCCTGCCACTCTCTGGAGCCACGAATCTGCCCTCTGCCTACTGCCCAGGTCAAGCGCTGCTTCTGCTCGCACCAAGTGACATATAACTTGACAACGCTAAATGCGAGCATTGAGAATAAAGGCGGACTTAAAAATCCCCGTGGGGTGAGCTTCCACTCTCAGCAAAACCACCAGAGCATCAGGAAAGACACACAGGGTGGGGACATTGCAGAGAGGCGCAGTACACTGGTGACGCAAACATGTAAGCACATGGGATGGCCCTTGGGGTTATGTTGGAAGCCACCGAAGACAGCAGGTACCGGAAGGACAGCGTCGCCTCCGCAGTCCCTCTGGCCCCTCCGATCAAGCAGTTCCGGATCTGGCCCGTTTCCATCCTGACAAGAAACTACATGAATCTTTCTACCTGATCACACTCAAGGAATGATGCCTAGAACACAAGATGCTCAGGGTGTGGCAGCTAACCAGCAAGCCTGGAGAGCAGAGGCCAGGGCCACCTATGCAGGCAACCTGTGATCAGGCAGGGTTTTGACACATCAGAGCCGGGGGACCACGACTCAAGGGTGCAGGATCGCATGCCCTGTCTGGCCCAGATCTGCTCTGTCAGCCCACAGCCCGGGCGAGGCCTCTCCTCCCAGCAGCCTCAGCAGAGCTCACGGAATTGTAGGCACCTTTGCTACTGCTGAGAGTAATTGAGCAATAGCCTCCCAGCAGTCTGAGTCGCAATGTGTTTCTGGGGGAAATTATATACTTTTAACCTCTAAAACAATATAATTTGAGGGTGAATGTATTTTTCCTCAAGAGTTACAGGACCTCTTATTTCCTTTAAAGATCTGAGGTGGGAGGTTATTTTGCTGTCCCTGCATATATGTTTAAAGAGACACCGACAATGGACGCACTTCCAAATGTCAGTTCTGGCAGAGGGAGCTGGGACACTTGGGAAAGCAATGTTTCTACACGGGATTTCGTCAGACGTTAGCCCAGTTTTGGAACCTAAGTGCATTGGCTCATCCCGTTTCTCCCAGGCCTGAAGACTGGAAACATTGTGTCCATTTTGATACACTCCTCTCCTTTGTTGCTCATATCTTCTCAGTCAATCACTCTATCACCGAGTTAGAAGACCACCTAGCCCGGCTTACTTTGCATTGAAATGGCGAGTGGCTGCCTTTCTGAGTGATTCTGCCACCCCGGCATTCAAGCAAGTGCCTTCCACTCCATGCAGAAGCAATAGCGTTGTTTCCAGTTAAACCTCCTGGGTCTCATGAGCAGCCTCGGGTTTTGCATTCTGCATCCCTGCCAGGGGCCTCTTCGTTCATCATCAGGTGACTTCTCTGATCGCAATCTTCATGTGTTTTACCCTACTACCATATTCACAGCAATATTCCCTGCACACCTCAGGGATCATCCCCCAAGCGTGCTCCACCTCGCCTATTCTACTGTGTACTTGACAATCCCCAGCTCTTCTTACTGCTCCAGACAAACCCCAATGCCTCTGGGGCCCACCAACATCCACACTCAGACCTCCGGGCTTTTGTTCACCCAGTTACAGCCGTTTGGAAATTCTCCTTCATCTCCTCACCTCCTGACTCACTCCAACCATCCTCCCCTGTCCACCTTTGGTCTGACGCCTTCCCTGTTCTCCCAAGTGCACAAAAGGTATGTTTAAAACATTTCTGCATTTCGTTATAGACTGTAACCAAGACTCTTGTTCTGTGTGTGTGTGTGTGTGTGTGTGTGTGTGTGTTTTCACACCCCCACCTTAAAACTGCAAGGAGTTGGGCTGGTACAAAGTGTCTGTGTCATCTTGAGACAAATTCTGAAAGATTATCAAATAAGTAGCTTATGAAGACTGGGTGGACAAGGAAAAGGTGCTGTGATGTGTACATGAACCTGAACATGTCAGAAACAAGTCACTGCAGATCACTTCCTTTCTGTTGAAAGATTTCAGGAAGTCAAACTAGGATCAAAGAAGGAACATCACACTGAGTCTCCCCAAGTTTCCAACAAGGACACTGCTGGTCACTAAGAGGAGCAGCCAAACTGCTTGACAGACTTTCCAGATAATCAAATGACCACCCCTGAAAGTGCCAATCATGTTGTGCGTGTGTGTGTATGTGTGTGTGTGTGTATGTGTCTGTCTGCATGCCTGTGTGCAAGTGTGTGTGTGTGTTCATGTGTTCTGTTGTAAGCATACTTGCACTATAGTGCACGCTATGAATATCAGAAGACAGCGTTGGGTCTCAGCCCTCAACTCCCACCTTCTTTGACACAGGGTCTCTTGTTTATCACTGTATATACCAATTTATCAGGTCTGTGAGTTTCCAGGAACTGTCTTATCTCTGCACCTACCTCATCACAGAAGCACTGGGAATACAGACACAGTCCTGCATACGGTGTCTTGTGGGCTCCAAGGATCTGAATTCAGGCCTTCCTGCTTATACCACAAGCGGCTTGCTCACTGGGCTGATTCCCCCAGGCCCATCACACACTTCAGTAAACGGAGACAGTCTAGAGGCGTGCACACAGATACAAGCCAAGGACGTTCTTGAGTCAGGATGACTGTATCTATGACAACCTGAGAAAAATAGACAACAGGTGGGAACAGCATCAGCGACCAATGATAATACAAAACTCTCCGTAAAGGAAGTCATGCAATGCAGCATCCAACAGAAACAAACTGGAAGTGCCTCTGCTAGGCTCGTGCATCCAACGGGACCTGTCACCACAGGTTTTCTGATAAAAAGCTATTTTCTTACTCTTGCCATACATGAGATATTTAATATCCAGGACTGCGTTGAGCTTTACGATGTCGAAAGGTCTTCATGATCTTGAGATCGGGTACGTTGTGGCTCTGTAAATCTGTCTTGCACCCCAGCTAAACTACAAATCTGTTGGCAAGAGTACTGTGACACATGGCAGTAGCTAAGTACATGGGTCTGCTGTCACATAGACACAGGTGTCAATAATAGTTCTCCCACTTACTAGGTTGATAATTTCTTTTTTTTCCCTCTGGGTACCAACTAGAAATTATACAAAATGTGATAGCTCACTTGGTTATTAATGTTCAGTGCAAATGGCCCAGCCCAATGTCTGCATGGAGCGGACGTTAATTAAACATCTTTTCTATTTCCCACTCAGCTAGTGGAGTGATAAACAACTCAACACGGTCTCAGAAGAAGCCATTCGATTCTTACTTGGTTCCTTGTGTTGGAAAGATAGATGAAGAGGTTGCTTGCTCAGTGCTTTGGAGCAGGGAGAATAAATGAAGGCACTCTGGGCAGAAGAATGCCAGAGGGAAGGCACCAGGATGAGAATGAATGTGACTCAGGCTGAGGACTGAGATTCCCCAGGGAGTGGGTGCTGGAAACAAGGTTGGACTAGTAGACCAGACCAGAAAATACAATAGATCTTGCAGTCCTACCTAGCCAAGTGAGAAATGATTTCCTTACCATCCCTTTGGCATATTTTAAAACATTAAACAGTGATTGGACTCATGACACTTTCCTGTTGTGTGAGAGTAATAGCATGCTAAAGAGAAGTCACGAGAGATTTCTCTTCTAGCAACAACCAAGTTATTCCATTCTCTCTCTTCTGCTTGCCTTTCAGAAGTCTGACTTACTGATTTAAACCGGGAGCCCTGTTGTAGCCACAGCTGCCCTAGCTGGCAGAGCTGCAAGGCCTGTTTCCCCAGCCTCTCGTCGCTCCATTTCTTAGCACAAGCATGTTTGACAGGAATATGAGTGGGTGGGAAACATAATGTTTCCAGTTGAAGCTCACTAGAAAGCCTCCAGTCGTGTCATTTTAGAGATTAAAGAAAGTATCATTTGGACACATGAATTTGAATATGATTTATAGATTACTTCCAGAGACATACAGTTGCTTATCTCCCAGGCAGCTGCGAGAATAGACAGTTAGAAGTCATGCAGGAGGTATGCTGCCCTTAGACAGGAGGAAAATACATTAAATCTTAAAGCGGCTGATACAGCAATTAATATTTCAGCCTTCCTTGTGCACGGAAAAAAAAGAGTAAGATTACAAAGATGTTGGATTGCCATGAATATGTGATTTCAGGCTTACTGACTGAAAATGCCTAATTATGTATTACAAGCCTAAGCCCCTCAGGCACTAATGGGCTATTTTAAAATTCTAAAAAAAATGTTTGAGTCTGAAAATCTTGGGTTTTTATCAAGGTTTCAATAGCACAATTCTAACTTATTCCTGAGTAACATTTTGGGAAAGAAGCCAGGCACAGTCAAGTCTCATTATGAGAATTTTTTTTAACTTTTCCAATTTATCAGCAAATGTTCAGCAGTAATGTGCTCCAAGGCTAGTGAACCATGCCCTTTCACCCAGTAAACCCATTAAACAACTTGGTTCGTTTCTGAAGAGATTGTTACCCTTTGTTAAAGAGACAGGGAACCACTTGACAAAAGCTATGAGTTGTCCTATATACTCACCCCTCTGACCCTGGCAGGAGGTGGACTCAGAAACTCAGACTTCAGGTGAGCTGCAAAGTCAAAAAGAAGTTTCAGAGAGAAAATGCAAAGGATTCTGGGCCTTTGAAGTGAATAATAAAGGAGTGCAGCTATTCAAAAAGGTAAGGATGCTGCCTGTTTGATCAAAGGAAAGGAGTCCATTCAAATGAAGTTAATTCTAAGTTCATCATGAATATAGCACAGCTGTTACACACTTCCTTAGACATTTTACTGCGCTTCTCATTGCTGGCTGGTAATCGTATAATACAAAGTAGCTAGAATAAGGCTTATGAAGAATGACAGTGGAAACACAAGATCTGTACAAGATCAAGCCAGTCAACACTCTAGCATTGTCTAAGAATGGGTCCACAAGCAACCACCCCTAACTGAAGAATTAAAGACCATTGATAGCTCCTGGTGGTTGGGGTTATAGTCAATTTTCTTTAAGGGCATAGCCATTGATAAGTTAACCACACTCCAGAGGACAACCCCAGAAGTATATGGATAGCACAAAGTGGAGCTGATGGGCTAGTAAGTTGAAGATGAAGGAAAAGGAGTGTGGGAGAAGAAGGAGGAAGAAATAGAGGAAGAAGAGGAAGAGGCAAATGAGGATGGCAGGAAGTTGGGATGGGGCATAGAGGGGGCGTGGCTTGGGGAGGAGTTAAGGAGAGGTTAAGGAAGGAGTTAAGGAAGGTAAAATGTGGTGTAGGAAGTTTTCAAAGAATTAACTAAAAATATATCTCTAAAAAATAAGGATACTCCATGGGGGATCTTCAAAGTGTGTCACATCATTTGGATCAGGGCCTAGATCCTCCCATGTGTCTAGGCTGAGAGAGTATCCCTGTATGTGGACTGGGCTCCCAAAGTCTATTCGTGTACTAGGGATAAATACTGGTCCACTACAAGAGGCCCCATAGATTAGCCAAACCTCTAAATTGACACCCATGTTCAGGGGTCTGGGTCAGTCCTATGCTGGTTTCCTAGCTATCAGTCTGGGGTCCATGAGCTCCCCCTTGTTCAGGTCACCTATTTCTAAGTCTCACCCTCTCTGGGGAGCAGAAAGGGGATGGGTTGGGGGTCAGTGGGGGGCAGGGGAGGAAGGGAGGAAAAGGGAACTGGGATTTATATGTAAAAGAAGCTTGTTTCTAATTTAAATTTTTTTTAAAAATTGAAAAAAAAGGATATTCTTTCAGCCTAGATACGTAGAGGAGGGCCTAGGTCCTACCTCAAATGATGTGACAGACTTAGAGGACCCCCCCATGGGAGGCCTCACTCTCCCAGATGAGTGGATGGGGAGTGGGATGAGGAGATGGTTGGGAGAATAGGAGGAAGGGAAGGAGAGGGAGCTTGGATTGGTATGTAAAATAAGATCGATTTCAATTTAAATAAAAAATTAATTGAAAAACAAAATAGCAAGAGTCTGGAAAAGTTACAGTCTAAAAGACAAATTCTCAAAATAGTTCAGTCTAAGGATATATAACAGCCTATCCGAGGATTCCTCAGCACCAGGTTGGTAAACTATAGAATCTCAATAGGCATACTAGTATTAATCAGTCCCTTGCTGTGTCCTCAAGGTCACAGAGCCCAGAATGATCAGCAGAAGCATTGTCTGTCCTGAGGACGAAGCACAGTAATGGCTCTCTTGGAGGAACAGAGATATGACTAGAAAGGGAGTTGGTGTAGGAGATGGGACCTGAAAGAGCTTAAACTCATCACTGTAGTGTGAACTGTGGTGTCACTGGAACATGTAAAGAGAAAAGACAAAGAGTTAGTGCTGTTTAGGAGTAAAATTAACTTAAAATACTCTAACTCTTAAAGGCAATTCTGTTGCTTTAGAGACTGTGGAAAGGCCCCAAACTTAAATTCCTCTTTGTTCATAATCACTATGGGAAGACTGGCCCATCTATTCATCTTCTGAGTGCCCTAAGTAAGGTTTTCCAATCAAGAAAGAAGCCTAAAACTATAGAAGACACCAAGTAAGATATTTATATTGAGCAAAGAACTCCCTTACTTATATATAGCAAAACATTTGAGGAAATCAACTGTCAATTTTTAAAAAGTGGACTCAAGTTGACATCAGAAGAAACATAAATGATCCAAAAAGGTGAAAATGCAATTCTTAATGATTCAGATGTGTCCTTAAGACCCAAATTCCGAGAAACCCTGTCTCGAAAAAACCAAAAAAAAAAAAAATGACCCGAATTCCTCCCTCTTACCCTCTCTCAGATCTCCTGGCCTGAGGACCTCAGCCAAGTTGACTCACCCCCAGACAGATGACCAAGCGACCAGGAGCCTGCAGAAAGAGCCAGTCTACTCCTGGCTGCACTCAGGGCAGAGGGCAGAGGACAGAGATGAGAGGCCAGACAGTATTGGATTTGCTTGCACCCACCAAAAGGGAACCCTGGTGGCCTACCCACAAGTTCAGGAAGAGGGCCTTTATATACCCACTGGAAGAAGTGATGGGAAAGAAGTGATATAAGAGCACACTCAGCAACAGAAAAAAACAATATGACACCACCAGAATCTAGAGATTCTACACCAATAAGGCCTGAACACCCCAGTGCAGATGAAGCAGAAAGGAATGACTTTAAAAACACCTTCATAAAAATGATAGAGGCCCTCAAATAGGATGTGAAAAAAATCCCTTAAAGTAATGGAAGAAAAAACAAACGAAAAAAATATAACAAATGCAAGAAAGGGAGGAAAACAGGAAGGAAAAATTAAAAGAAAGGATTCAAACAGTGCAAGGGTTGAAAGCTGACATGGGGACAATAAAATACATAGTCTGAAAGAATGCTGGGAATAGAAAAGCTGGGGAAAAGGTCAGGTAGTACAGTTGCAAGCATAACCAACAGGATATAAGAGATGGAAGAGAATCTCAGTTGTTTGAAGACACACTAGAGAAATAGATTCATCGACCAAAGAAATCTTAAGTTCAACAAATCCCTAACACAAAATATTCAGGAAATATGGGACACTGCAAAAAGACCGAACCTAAGAATGATAGGCATAGAAGAAATTGAAGAAACCCAACTCAAAGGGGCAAAAAACATATTCAACAAAATCATGGAAGAAAACTTTCTCAACCTAAAG